ATTCTTTAAGAGGCCGGTGCCTTAGAAGCGCTGTTCTAACAGAGCTCAGTCCTACCAGAATCCCCAGCCTCACCCTGGGTCCTCCGCATGGTGCATCAGCCTTTTAAATGTATTAAGAGCCTGCTGGCTCTTAGATGCTGTATCTAGACTGGCCAGTTTTTCTGGAAAATCAGCTGCTTTTCCAGAAAAGCTTGCCAGCTGTCTACACTGGCCGCTTGAATTTCTGCAAGAACACTGACGATCTCATGTAAGATTGTCAGTGTTCTTGCGGAAATACTATGCTGCTCCCGTTCGGGCAAAAGTCTTTTTCCGAAAGACTTTTGCGCAAAAGGGCCAGTGTAGACAGCTCAGATTTGTTTTCCGCAAAAAAGCCCCGATCGCGAAAATGGCGATCGGGGCTTTTTTGCGCAAAAGCACGTCTAGATTGGCACGGACGCTTTTCCGCAAAAGCGCATCGTTATAACACGAACTCCGCGCCAATCTAGACGCTCTTTTCCGAAAATGCTTTTAACGGAAAACTTTTCCATTAAAAGCATTTCCGGAAAATCATGCCAGTCTAGACGTAGCCACTATGTTTAAAAGGCTGGTGCTGCTGCAGCGCTGGGGCCCCGGCGTGAGTCGGGTCCGCTGATTCCCAGCTCACGCCAGTCCTCCCTACTGTGCTTCTGCTTTTTAAATGTATTAAGAGCCGGCAGGTGTTAAACACAACACCCAGGGGTTAAACACGACCCCCCAGGGAGTAAAAACGTGACTCCCAGTGTTAAACATGACATTTTCTATGTCTGGTATTTTCTCAATTTGTTTCCTGGACAGAACCCTCAAATACCAGACTGTCCGGTTCAAAACTGGACACCTGGCAACCCTATGCACTAGGAGGTTGTCGGGAGGAGCTGGCTGGGTGTAGAAGAGAGAGAGGCATGTGTGGTGTTGCAGTCACCTTTTCCCTCTGAGAGTCTCTTCTCCTCTGATGGGGCTACTCCTTGGGTAGCTCAGTTGGGACAACATCAGCCCTTTAATCTGAGGGTTCAAGTCCCTGGTCAGACAGGTGTGGCTTTCTCCCCTGTGATGCGATCCCCACCACCCATTATGCAAGATATTCCTGCCTCTTTTACCAGTTTTACTCTTCCTCTTCAGCATGGGCCATTTCCTCCAGCTCAGCAGGCACAAAGACCTCTGGGCCTGAAGCAGGGCCCTTCTGCTCTTTAGCAAATGCAGGACTGGCCAGGGACCAGAGAGAGAAAGGCCAGGAACTTGAGGGAGGGAGGCCAAAAGAGAAAGTTCTGTCTGTCACCGCTAGGGGGCACTGCCTGCATGGGACACAAACAGGAGTCCAAGCAACCCCCCCTCCTAAGCCCTCTGCATAAAGAAATCACAGCGCTGTGGTGTGTATCTGGGCATATTGATTTGTTTTTCCTAAAATTAAGTATTTTGGGGGAAAAGCGTCTCTGCACCCACTAGCCAGAGTTGCCTCCTGTAAACGTCTTGCACCCCATCCCCAAGCCTCCTCTGATTTGTGGGCGGGTGATCAGAAAGTTGGCCACTTTAGCGATGTCCCTTTTTTGCGCGATAATTATTTATTGCGCGTAGATTTTCCTTCCGTTTTCCCCCAAAAGTAAAATCCTTCAGCGAGTGAAAGACCCATGCAAGGCCATCGCATCGGCTCGTATTCAAGTAAAGCGAGGGCAATAAAAGAAATGGAACAAGAGTTGTTTTGACGTATTAAATAAAAGAGAAAAATATAAAGATTACATGGCAGAAAAAAGGATTTTTTTTTAATATTGACCATTCGTTCCCTCCCCAAAATCATCCTCTCTGGCCTTCCCCCTCCTTCTTACACTCACAAGACTCTGCAAAAGTGGCGAGGAGTCCTGTGGCACCTTATAGACTAACTGAAGTGTTGGAGCATAAGCTTTCGTGGGCAAAGACCCAGATGCAAGACGAAGTGGGTCTTTGCCCACAAAAG